AGACCACTACTCAAACACTGACACACAGGACCTATTCAAACACTGACACACACAGGACACTATCAAACACTGAAACACACAGGACACTATCAAACACTGAAACAGACAGGACACTATCAAACACTGAAACACACAGGACACTATTAAACACTGAAACACACAGGACACTATCAAATACTCACACTTTGTTCACTATCAAACACTGACACACAGGACACTACTCAAACACTGACACACAGGATACTTCTCAAAAACTGACACACAGGACACTACTCAAACACTGACACACAGGACACTACTCAAACACTGTCACACAGACACACAGGACACTACTCAAACACTGACACACATGACACTACTCAAAGACTGTCATACAGGACACTATCAAACACTGACACACAGGACACTATCAAACACTGACACAAAGGACACTACTCAAACACTGACACACATGACACTATCAAACACTGACACACAGGACGCTACTCAAACACTGAAACACAGAACACTACTCAAACACTGACACACAGGACCTATTCAAACACTGATACACACAGGACACTATCAAACACTGACACACACAGGATACTATCAAATACTGACACTTTGTACACTATCAAACACTCACACACACAGGACACTATCAAACACTGACACACAGGACACTATCAAACACTGACACACAGGACGCTACTCAAACACTGAAACACAGACCACTACTCAAACACTGACACACAGGACCTATTTCAAACACTGACACACACACAGGACACTATCAAACACTGAAACACACAGGACACTATCAAACACTGAAACAGACAGGACACTATCAAACACTGAAACACACAGGACACTATTAAACACTGAAACACACAGGACACTATCAAATACTCACACTTTGTACACTATCAAACACTGACACACAGGACACTACTCAAACACTGACACACAGGATACTTCTCAAAAACTGACACACAGGACACTACTCAAACACTGACACACAGGACACTACTCAAACACTGTCACACAGACACACAGGACACTACTCAAAGACTGACACACATGACACTACTCAAAGACTGTCATACAGGACACTATCAAACACTGACACACAGGACACTATCAAACACTGACACAAAGGACACTACTCAAACACTGACACACAGGACACTACTCAAACACAGTCACACAGGACACTACTCAAACACTGACACACATGACACTATCAAACACTGACACACAGGACGCTACTCAAACACTGAAACACAGAACACTACCCAAACACTGACACACAGAGGACACTATCAAACACTGAAACTCACAGGACACTATCAAACACTGAAACACACAGGACACTATCAAATACTGACACTTTGTACACTATCAAACACTGACACACAGGACACTACTCAAACAATGACACGCAGGACACTACTCAAACACTGTCACACATGGTACTACTCAAACACTGACACACAGGACACTATCAAACACTGAAACACACAAAACACTGACACGCAGGACACTATCAAACACTGAAACACACAGGACACTATCAAATACTGACACTTTGTACACTATCAAACACTGACACACAGGACACTACTCAAACAATGAAACACACAAAACACTGACACACACAGGACACTATCAAACACTAACACACACAGGACACTATCAAACACCGACACACACAGGACACTATCAAACACTGACACACACAGGACACTATCAAACACTGACACACAGAGGACACTATAAAACACTGACACACACAGGACACTTTCAAACACTGACACACACAGGACAATATCAAACACTGACACACACAGGATACTATCAAACACTGACACACAGGACACTATCAAACACTAAAACACACAAAACACTGACACACACAGGACACTATCAAACACTGACACACACAGGACACTATCAAACACTGACACACACAGGACACTATCAAACACTGACACACACAGGACACTATCAAACACTGACACACACAGGACACTATCAAAACTGACACACACAGGACACTATCAAACACTAACACACAGGACACTACTCAAACACTAACACACAGGACACTATCAAACACTGACACACACAGGACACTACTCAAACACAGTCACACAGGATACTACTCAAACACTGACACACAGGACACTACTCAAACACTGACACACAGGATACTACTCAAACACTGACACACAGGACACTACTCAAACACTGACACACAGGATACTACTCAAACACTGACACACAGGACACTACTCAAACACTGACACACAGGACACTACTCAAACACTGTCACACAGACACACAGGACACTACTCAAAACACTGACACCACATGACACTACTCAAAGACTGTCATACAGGACACTATCAAACACTGACACACAGGACACTATCAAACACTGACACAAAGGACACTACTCAAACACTGACACACAGGACACTACTCAAACACTGTCACACAGGATACTACTCAAACACTGACACACAGGACACTAGTCAAACACTGACACACAGGACACTACTCAAACACTGTCACACAGGATACTTCTCAAACACTGACACACAGGATAACTACTCAAACACTGACACACAGGACACTACTCAAACACTGACACACAGGATACTACTTCAAACACTGACACACAGGATACTACTCAAACACTGACACACAGGACACTACTCAAACACTGTCACACAGACACACAGGACACTACTCAAAACACTGACACACAGAGAACTACTCAAAACAGTCACACAGGATACTACTCAAACACTGACACACAGGACACTACTCAAACACTGTCACACAGGATACTACTCAAACACTGACACACAGAATACTACTCAAACACTGACACACAGGACACTATCAAACACTGACACACAGGACACTACTCAAACACTGACACGCAGGAGACTACTCAAACACTGTCACACAGGATACTACTCAAACACTGACACACAGGACACTACTCAAACACTGACACAACAGGATACTACTCAAACACTGACACACAGGACACTACTCAAACACTCTCACACAGGATACTACTCAAACACTGTCACACAGGATACTACTCAAACACTGACACACAGGATACTACTCAAACACTGACACACATGACACTACTCAAACAATGACACACAGGACACTACTCAAACACTGACACACATGATACTACTCAAACAATGACACACAGAATACTAGTCAAACACTGTCACACAGGACACTACTCAAAGACTGTCATACAGGATACTACTCAAACACTGACACACAGGATACTACTCAAACAATGACACACATGACACTACTCAAACACTGACACACAGGACACTACTCAAACACTGACACACAGGACACTACTCAAACACTGACACACAGGATACTACTCAAACACAGTCACACAGGATACTACTCAAACACTGTCACACAGGATACTACTCAAAACCTGACTCACAGGACACTATTAAACACTGACACACAGGGCACTACTCAAACACTGACACACAGGATACTACTCAAACACTGACACACACACGATACTACTCAAACACTGACACACAGGACACTTCTCAAACACTGACACACAGGACACTACTCAAACACTGTCACACAGGATACTACTCAAACACTGACACACAGGATACTACTCAAACACTGACACACAGGACACTATCAAACACTGAAGCACACAGAACACTACTCAAACCCTAAAACGGGACACTAATCTTCCACACGGGACACAACGCACACACTGACATATAGGACACTATTCAAACACTGACCTGGTACAGCACACAACTGACACACTGACACACAGGACACTACTCAGATACTCAGAGACTCACAGGAAGAAACTACTCAAATACAGACCTGACACACAAGACACTGCTCGGACACTCTCACACACAACATTACTCACTCACTGATCTGACATACAAGACACTACTCACAAACTGACACGCAGGGCACTACTCAAACACAACACTGATACAAAAGACACTGCTCACACACTGACATAACATACAGAACACTACTAAAACAATAACTTACATAGAGAACACTGAGCTTACACACGGCGAACGTGACTCACAGGACACTTCTCACACACAGATAACTACCAAGATAATGCATCCACTATGTTCGAACATATACAGAATTACAACGGGGACCTAGTTGATTATATTTGTGCGAATCCCCATTTACCTACCAGTAGTTGGTATTTCGAACTTTGCATGCTTTCCCCTCAAAACAGAAAGAACATTTCCGGAATAAATGTAACGGATATTTAACAAAAAAAGATCTGTTCTTCAACAAGAAACACCTTGCATCCTTATGCCAACCAGGGGACCCAGTTGCTTATTCTCGCATGTACTCAACTACCTACTAGAAGGTTATTGGTAAATCGAACTTTGAATGTTTCCCCCTCAAAACAGAAAGTACTTTTCCGGAATCACGCGAATACCCAACCAAATGTCTCCTGGTCGACTTAGGGTGATAGCATTTGATAGAATTCACCCATCTTGCCATATAAACATTTTAAGTTCGAATTACCAACTACCTTGATTCAATTACCAAGGATTAGCTGTTTAAAATTTGGAAATTGCCAATTTCCAAATACAAACAGTAGGTACATTGTAGTGGGTTTTTCGAATATTCAACCACCAACTACCTACCAAAGTGACACTCATTCCGAAGTTGCCTGGAAGGTCCCTGTAATAATATAGGGGTCTGAAGTTGACTGGGACGTCCTTGTGTTACTACAGCAAACTCCTCACAGTGATTACGTCCCTTGGCAGAATTGTAACGCCGTATAATTAAGGGGAGATCGCTGCGTGGAGATTGTTACTACAGGAGTCCGAATATGACTGGGAGGTCCTTGTAATACATGTAATACTCTAGGGGCCCAAAATTGACTGCGAGATCCCTATAATAATATAGGGATCCGAAGTTGACTGCGAAGTCTCTTTAATTGTATAGGGATTCGAAGTACTTATACCATACATTACATTGTTACAACGTGAACGGAACCAATTTACACGCGGAAAGAAAATATAATCATAAACGATTTAATATTGAAAAGCAGTCAAAAGTTGTGTGGACAACTACATACTGAAATGCACTCTTTGTTAAACTAGTTAGCGTTTACGCACATTATTTTACATTTTCGAGCAGTTGTTCTCTTACTCTTCTTTTATATCTGAACATGGTCGAGTGATTAGCACGTAAAGTAGTCATCTATGGAGTACTAGCCACGTGGGCTTAAATCCTGTCGGGACAAGCTGTTGTATCATTGTCCTCATTGCTAAGTACTGGTTGGTTCCAAGAACAGATTCGACAATGTGTCTATAAGCTTATAGCTACATACACAATCTAAATAAAAAAAAACATGTATAAACTTTCCATTCGTTTAAATAGATTATTGATAATTTAGTAAATTATCTTGTATTTCAATTCACCGTAAGAATACCCACCGTAAAAAAGCAGCCTCGAAAAAATATACATGTATATTAGATTCTGTACCAAATAAATGTTACAAAAGATTTCGGGGGAATTTGATAATTCAGATACCCGGGAACTCTATAATCTGTGATAGTAATGTCGAAACTTGTCGTGTTATTCGTATTAACAAAGTTAGCGGCGATTGAATCGTCCTCCCTCGTGAAGAAGATTGCTTTTAGATCTGAATCATCGGGAAGATTGGATGTATGGTCTATCAATTTCGATCCTGGTCGCACAAATTTACTGAAATGTCCCATTGCGTAAAACATAGGCTGTTTATAGAACTCGTCCGTCTGCGCGTTCACAATTACCGGGCTGTCGGCGAAGTTATTTTGCCAGTTTGGCCCTCCTTGCATATTTAGTGCCATGTTCCAATCAACCCAACCGGAAACTCCGTTTTCAATATCTTGCAAAATGTCCGTAAAATATCTCTCGCCACGTTGCCAGTTGCCAAGCAACACTGTATTAGACTTATTTGCTAGATCCTGGACGCAAGCTTCTGTGTTGAGAAGAAAATATTTGTCTCCAAATTGTTTAAATGTATCGTTAAGAACTGAAGGCGGAACGTTCATGTCGTCATACCAATGGACGGCTATTCCGGAAACGTATTTTGCGGCAAAAGGATCATTTAGAACTGTGTCAGCCCATGCTGGCAGATATTTTCTTTCGTCATCTAGAATCATCAGCTTTACGCCACCGAAGCCGTTTTGCTCTAGCGCTGGACCTAATTCATTAGCGATGAAGTTCTTCTGTGACTCAGCATCGAAAGCGAGACACTGATATGGAAACCCGTCGATATTACCGTCATTTGGCTCATTTTGTGCTGTAAGGCCCCACATGTTGAGTCCTAGTTGTTTATATCCTTGTAAAAACTTCACAAAATAGTTCGCCCATGCTTTAGCATATTGTCCATTCGGTCCACCTTTGATAGTACCTTTACCTGTCATATTGTTGTTAGTTTTCATCCAAAATGGCGAACTCCATGGACTTCCAAATAATGTAACATTTCTTTTACTCACTTTCATTGCATCTTTAATAGCAGGAATCTTATACACGAGATCTTCCTCCGCCAGGGCGAATTCCTTCAATTCAAGGTCACCATCTATGTCATCATAAGAATAAACTCGACTTGAAAAATCGCAGCTCGCCATTGGAATTCGTCCCATGGTATACTCGATTCCATTTTGTCCGTAATAAGAATTAATCAAATTAGCTCTGGCTTGAGGTGATAAACTATTCATGTTCATGGTAGCGGAATCAGTAAAGGCACCGCCAAAACCGAGAATTGTTTGCCTGGTGTTGTTTCCCAAGTTAAAGACGTACTTGTTTGGCTGTATCTGGTCGTCCCATGAACCAAGTTGTCGGTCCAGTCTGAGGCCGTCTTTAGTGGTTACAAAAGCGTTAAAGTATGTGAAAAGTAGTCCGCCACCCTCAATCCCGGCATAATCGCAATAAGTTGAGTTACATACGCAAACTGTGGAATCCTGGTCAAATTGTCGTGGAGAGCAGGGTACCTCATCCGCGAGAATTCCGTGCATCAACAATGGAACAAATATGACAACTCTAAACGAGAACAACATTGTGGATTTAAAACATGTCCTGCGATAAAGTATAAGAAGTTTGTATTAATTACCAATATTAAGGAAATAGGTCATTTCTTTATCAGTTTTACATGAAAGTCATTTAGAAAGTATACATGTACTCTACTTATAGAAGGGAGGTAATCTGAGCTGCTTACTTATTTGTGTACATGTTGTGTTGTCGGACTTTGGGGAAATGAATGACTCAGAATTTGATTGGGATCACTTATTCGATTATATATATTTCTATGGTTGTAATAAATTAGGTAAAAGTAATGTTTTGATAATTTTTATATTAAGATGTATTAATTGTTATTTTCACTGAAGCGTGATAACGGACTAATCTGGATAAGAGTGGCTTTTAAAGTTTTTGTGCATCGGTAATACAAGTGGAGAAATTGTAAAGATGTTGTCACTATCGAGTGTGCTGCCCATTTTCGTAGATTTCGTGCTGCTGATAATCCCGCGCGCGTATGGTATCTTGTAGGATTCGATCCCACTCCTCTCAGAGGGCCTGGATGGTGGCTGGCTTAACAGGGTGAGTTGAACTGAACAGAGATGTTAAAAATATGGAGCGGCAGTTAAAACCAGATTTTATTTAATACATGTAATATGTTGAGTTTTCTTGAGTTTATACATGTATATATCTTCTAGTATTTTCCGAATATTTTTGGTAACATCGCTTTATATTTTCTAAACCTGAGACCGTGTATTGTTCTAGTCGAATTTTAAGCTGCTTTTTTATCATGATTTTTATTTTGTGTTTTACATTGTTTTTGTAAGCTATTGTGTTGTTTTTTCTTTTGTATTTTATAAACATGTAGATTTAGCTTATTCTTGGTACAGGCCTTCCTTAAATTCTCTGACAGTAATTTGGAACAAGAACTATATTACTACTCCACGGTAATATTATTGGTTCTATGATGTTATGAACAGTTTTTGGACCTCTCCTCTTTTTGCACCTCGATGTGATCATGGAATCGTTCTCATTGGATATTTTGCAAGCTTCGCAACATATTCTATAATTTTGCTGTTTTTTTTAATCCGTTTTTCCTATCGGTGTAATTGTGCAATGTGTAAACTAGCATAATGTATAATCACCCGAAGCAAATATTGCCTGCTTTTTAAATTTTTCTGTTGACGTCTTATTTGTGATATACAGGCCTCATAACCTCTGATCCCCTTTCTAATTTCCATGTATTGCCTTCCGTTCATTTTGTTTTTTTTATTTTTTCATTCAAGGCACATGCATTCTTTCACTTGTGGACCAAACGCCACTTTTCAGGAAATGGAAATCTGCAGCTGTTTTTAAATTCAAAATGTCACTCACCATTTCAATGTTTGGATGTTGAACTCTGCTTAAACCGGTGCTTTGGGGGGCGCGGACAGTAGCTTGGAATATTCACTATTGTCAATCAAACCGAGGACGCATCATTTTCAATTTTGCTGTGTTTTTTTGTTTTTTTTTTTTGTTTTTTTTGCGTTCTTTGGGGATGCCGTCTATATTACATTAGATGTGAAATATCTTTTCAAAGACAGCCTTGTAATGATTAAGTAATTAGTTTTCAAAACATTACTTTGTTCATGATTTAGTATCTCGTGGCCACGACTTAGCTATCTCGTGGCCACGACATAGTATCTCGTGGCCACGACTTAGTAACTCGTGGCCACGACTTAGTAACTCGTGGCCACGACATAGTATCTCGTGGCCACGACTTAGCTATCTCGTGGCCACGACTTAGTAACTCGTGGCCACGACATAGTATCTCGTGGCCACGAGATAAATAAAAACACACACATGTCACCTTTGTGCCACCGTAAGAAACACAAGATCTTGGCCAAAACATATAAATTTCAGATACGGAAACTAACGAACACAGCCGAATTTTGACACGAGTTACTTTTGTAAATACATGTAAATTATACCAAAGACATAAAATGAGATAAAGACATTGCTCTCATAGTTTATTGAACATTTTATTAGTTCAATGAAAGCTTTAATAGTTCATTAAGAATTTATAGTTCATTGACAGCCTAAATAGTTTATTGGTTATACCATTCAATTTTCATGAAGTCACTTTGTTGCTTCTCCAACAATACATTTTCTAAGAGTAAATGGAGCAGACTTAACGAAGACATATTGTATATCTACGTCAGAAAACCCCGCTCCTTGGATGTGTTTGTCAATCTTTCGATTATAATGACAGCTATACAATAACCAAAGAAATGGAACCAACATTATTCTAATCACCTTACTAAACCACATGTCATTTTCGGAGACATCATGCTCAAGGAATATCAGTTTTCCACCCTAAAAGATAGAACAAAATTATAAATCATATAAAGAATTATCCCGAAATACATATAAAATGTTTAAGAAAGATAATATTATACTTTTGTATGCTGGAAGCTCTATTTATTGGGAATACACATATGGATATTTTGTTGATATTTTTTTTTTTATTTCTAAATATAAACTAAACATTTAAGCTGCCAGTATAAACGAAATAGGGCAATTTTTGCGGTTTTCAGTCATTTTGACGCGTTCTAATTTTTAAACGGGTACCTGCTAAAATGAAATTGGACGTCATAATTTGCTACATCATGTATGAGATTGGACGTCATTCATGTCGTCACGCATGTGTTATTGATCTTTCATACTAGAAATCGCAAATGATTCAAAATATGCTTTTGGAGAAGAAAAGTAAATGTGAGATTATTTTCGTGAGGTACAGTGCACATTTTGGGGACGTGAAAGAACCCAACATCTATAAGTGGTATAACAGGTTCTCTCAGTGACGAGAAAGGGTAAATGAATAACCGCGGAGTGTCTGAAAATTGACGTCATTTACGGAAGAACATATTGGACGCATCAAGAATTATTTTGGTTTATAAACGCAAAACTGTGTCGGAAATTTGGGGAAAATTACAATAGTCATTTAAAGCTCTGCATCGAATCTTTAGGACGAAGAAGAAGTTACCAATGAGAAAGAAAATTAAATAAAATTTAAATATTGCAAAACAATAAATTACTTTTTTTTAAAAACGTTCTTTAACATCAATCAGCTGCGTCCAGACTTCACTAGTTAAAACAAATAAGATACATACTGGCTTGAGAACTCTCATGATTTCATCCAAAGACTTTCCTAAATCGCTAACAACACACATGATAAGTGTGCATATCACTGCGTCGAATGTTTCATTTTCGAACGGCACGTTTTCCGCATACCCTCTTACGAAATGAATCTCCGCTAGCGATGTGTGTGAATTAATTTTATTTTTAACATGCTCTTCGAAAAATGGGTTAGGATCTAAACAAACTAACTTTGAAAGTCGAGGCAGACAATCTACATTTACGGCTGGTCCTGACCCTACATCAAGTATTGTCAAATCCTTATTCATCTTTTTCTTGTGCGACTCCAAAATCTGCGAAAAGTAGTCCTTTTCTTTTGCAAAAGCTTTTAAATGCAATTGCTCGTATTTCTTAATCATCCAGGCATAAAATATCTGAAGAATGTAAAACTTTAGGCCGCTTCTGTAACACCAATAAAATATAATCAAAATTCCACCGACGATTAATGCATTTCCAACTTCAGAAATTTCCATAACTGTTCATTAAAATGTTTACGATTAAGTTAAATAATAATCGATGTAAATGTCATACGCTGTGAGATATGTCTGTATCCAACAATTCGCCAAATGTTACATGTTGTTGTTCTCTATATATCGTCTTTTAAAAACAATAATTGATTTTGATATTATTTTTTTATTGTAATATGTTATTAAAGGTGTATGCTTGTGTTTCACAAAACATAAAGCAAATGAAAACTGTACAATGAAAACGGATTGATATTTTGCACGATCTTACGATATAATAGAAACATTTTAAACGACAAAAAAACCCGTTTCTGAGAAACGTGACCTTGAAATAGATATTTTGCCGGTCATTTCAAGGGCAGATTATATATGTATATTTAATCTCTTTTTTACTATTTGTTTATGGTTTTATTTTAACTTCGATCGGACTACAGAATTTCACGGAGTTCTATCAAACCCTTACAATGTTTCAGTCATCTGCCTTAATAAAGGGACTGATAACACTTGACAGAAATTTGGCATAATTCTAAGTAAAGAAGATAAAATAAACAAACTGCGAACACTATTACTCAATGGGAACTGATTTTTTGCGGTCATTTCAATGAGAGATTACATATATATTTGTACAATCCTTATTTTTTACTATTTGTTAATGTTTTTCATTTCTATTTCAGATCGAACTACAAAATTCCATAGAGCTCCATTAAACCCTCAGTGTTTCCGTCATCTGTTTAAGTAAAGGAACTAAAAACTCGTTTAGAAATTTGGCATAGATATAAGTAAAGAAGATAAAATAAACAAATGAGTAATTATGAATTCTTGCACTACGAGTATAACTCAAAGGGAAGTAAGCTACAATCCTATCAATTATCTCCCCTTGATATTAGCTTTTTTTTTCAAATTCAAAGGCAGACAACTCACAGGCGAGGTCGGTGGCTCACGTTTGTCTTTCGCCTTAAATATATTTTGTTGTCATATTCTAAGATCATTTTAAGTTTAAATTTAAATTCATTTTCACAGTTTTCACCATGTTATGTTTATATAAAACCGTAGCATATGCCTTTAAAAGTAAAATGAGCTGCCTCGTTGACAGATTGTGTGTGAATATATATAGATAAAAGTGCATGTTAAAACAAGAAGGCAGTTATGCATGTATTCTGTTAGCTTTATTTAGGATTCATCATATTATAAGGTATGAAAATGAATCCAAATTAATTTTGCTTATTGTAAGCTTCGCCAAACTCACGGAACTAGTCAAATTGATAATTTTACCATTGTCATTGGAAAGGAAACATAGGATGGAGTCTAATGAAATATTGTTTCAAACAAGGGTTTTTTGTGCAAAAGTTATATGTCTTTTACAGTTATTATATTTGTTTATTGTCCTATATTTGATTTACTTTTACAGGCTGTGTTGTGGTATCCGTTTAATGCTTTATACTCAGTAAATACATCAACGCACAGTGTCATCCTGAATCCTTCTAAGAACTGGGTCAGGGGGACAACCGAATATGGATTACTAGGTGACCCCTGCCATAGAATTTTATTATGAATGGTCTCTCCATCGCGAGAAAAGCAAATGGCGGTTTGCCTCATGTATTGCTTTTCTGGAATGGCATTGCCTCTGACAATATCAAGTTCCGTGGCAGCGTTATTACAAAGACTAAACTGATCTTGAGAAAGATTTCCTTGATATTGTGTTAGCACTTTACAAAATCTTGTCTTTTGTCTTTCAAGATTAGTACAATTACATTGTTTACCTTTGTTATCAGATTTTATTTATTTGTACTCAAACTTGGCCAACACCTAAACCGTATATTCTACGATACTTCCGTGAATATTTAGGAGAAGTATTTCATTTACTAACACAATTTTATGGGAATTAATTCACAACACAAGACGGTCTTGAAAGCATATAAAAACATATTTAATATGTATGCTTATTTTCTTTTCTATTTTTTCTGCTTTCAATTCTTGACATTATTTTGTAAAAAAAAATACTGACCCTGTCAGCCAAAAAAAAAATGAAATAAATAACACCATCATATCAAACAACTATCTTCTTAAGACCGGTTTGCATTCTTTATCTGAAAATACACAAATTGTTAAAATAATTAAAACGCGTTTCAACTGAAAAACTTAAATCTACAATATAATGAATTAAACATTGATAATTTTAGGTCAATAATTATCTAGATAAAAAAATTCTTTTAACGTAATGAAATTGTGATAAAACTTTACAGTATTTTTAAAAGGTCGTTGATTCCACTTGAGTGTCTGAAATAATGCACGGAGTGCAACTGAGACCTGCTTTGCGAAATACCGGATGTGACATTACAACTTCTTTAAATCTCGGGTTCATCTTCACAAATTCACAGTTTAATTTCATGAATTCAGGTTTTCGGCATACAGAATTCGTAAGATGAAATCATGAATTCGTGAAGTTGAAATCGTGAATTTGTGAAGTTGAAATCGTGAATTTGTGAAGTTGAAATCGTGAATTTGTGAAGTTGAAATCGTGAATTTGTGAAGCTGAAATCGTGATTTGATGAAGTTGAAATCGTGATTTGATGAAGTTGAAATTGAGAAGTTTAAAACAGTAATTCGCTGAGTTGAATTCGTTAAGGTTGAAATTGTGAGTTCATGAAGTTGAAATCGTGATTTGATGAAGTTGGAATCGTGAATTTTTGAAGTTGAAATCGGGAAATAGAAATAATGTAATCGTGAATCCCGTAGGTTGAAGATGTGAATTCACGAAGTTAAGATTGTGAATTCAAAGAGGATGAATTCGGGACTTTATTAAATTAAAATGACCCAAACGGTCTTTCGTATTTCATGTAAGTAACAGTTTCGGTGTGACTTAAGGCCTGACGAGAGAATAGGGGGAAAGATACCTGTCTTTTTATGGCTGCTCCATTTAAACTGCTGCTATCGTATTGTGGCTTTTCGATCCAGACTTTCTGGCATGGAATGTTCTGTAAACGTAACAGTATTGCAAAATTATTTTTTTCATGCACAAACAAGAATAAAATTTGGCCATATCGCAATAATAGGATACACACTTTCATTGAAACGATTGACTATCAATATTATCTATTTCGCAATTATACTCACATTTAACCCCCAACCTCTCAAAAACTATCATCCCCTCACCCCTTATCCTACCTTTTTTCCTTTTCGCCCTTTATAAAAAAGTGTATGGATTGAAACAATAAAGGATTCATTTCTTTTTATTTTCAAGACGAAAAAACAGAAATTTTCGGAAATAGCGTTATTCTAAAAAATTAGAGACAAATGAAATGTATGTTTTATATCTTTGACAAGCTTTTTGAATACTTGATAAAACCGCGGTTTCTGATCATAATAAACTGCGCATGTGCGAAATATTACTTCCGTTGGAAAGGATGCTTTTTAAATGTTAAAAGACGTGTATAAACGAACCTGAGCAATGACAAACTTGTATGATCGACATGTCTGATAGTAAAGTTGGTGGGCAAGTTTTCTCATATTTGTATCACTGTAAAATATAAACGAAATAAACAGAGAATTTTGAGATAAACATCGTGTTGTGATGACATACAGGTTATTAAGATTTTAGGACTTGTTTGAGCATTAACAGTGAGGCTCGTGAAAACGAAGAGTAATTCATTTTGAAATATAATTTTGTGTAAGTAAATTGATCAAATATTTCACATTTAGTAAAAGAACTTCAACTCCTGTGGGGGACATCATACATTTTTTGCAGTCTGACAAAGTTGTAAATTGTCGGCTGCTCACGTTAACGTGTTTTTAATATTGCGGTCCGAATTCAAAGTCCATTTCACAAAGTAAGCAGCTTAAAGATTACCACAATTCAAATACTAGTAATAAATACAGTGTAAAATTAAATATATCACGTGATACACATGTTAACTTACCTTATAACCTGTTTATTGTCAGTCATCATAACTCTAATTCTATCTACCATCATATCAACAATGTCAGCTTCCATATCTCGAGCAATCTAAATAAGAAAATAAACATCCACTCAATTTTAAGATAATTAGCATTTCTTGTCTTTCTTTTTTATCACAAGAATTAAAAAAAAAAACGGTTATATATCAAAAACATAGTTTTAAGTTTTTTTTAAATTTAATTCATTCATTCGTTCGTTCGTTCGTACGTTCGTTCGTTCGTTCGTTCGTCCGTCCGTCCGTCCGTCCGTCCGTCCATCCATCCATCCATCCATCCATCCATTCATTCATTCATTCATTCATTTATCCATTAATTCATTCATTTATTTATTCATTCATTCATTCATTCATTCATTCATTCATTCATTCATTTATCCATTAATTCATTCATTTATTTATTTAATTAATTAATTCATTCATTCATTCATTCATTTAGTTAAAAAGAAGTGAGAACATACCTTATTAATTTTCTCTCTTAAGCTTATTTCAGCTAGGAATTTTGTCTCAAACTCTCCGAGAAATTGTTCGTGAACAAGCTTTCTCTTCTCTAGAAATACTTGCATAAGCTACAGAAAAAAAGATAGAATATATGATGATTAGAGTTATTTGATGTTTCTGCAAATGAAATAGAGAGTAATATATAATTAAAAAATTATTTTTGTATTGCTTTAAATGAAACTTATTTTATCATTATACAACCAAGAATATACAAATGTACATGAATACATGAGTATCACCGGAAGTGACGACAATAAATGTCCCCTTAAAGTGATGTTTACAGAATAATTTTCATTTTATAATTGTATAATGTCTAGAAAGACACATACCTTAATGGCAGCGGTTCTTGGTTTCTTTTCATCTTCGTTATATCTAAGAGCGGATTTTTGTGTTTCTAGAGAAAGTTTGCATTCGTCTAGTTTGTCTTTGGATTTCCAACATTTCTATAAACAAACCAATATCAAAATGTTTGAAACAAGAGAAAACATAAATAGAATGAATAATATTCATAGTAATATTTTACACGGAACAAACAAAACAAAGAAAAAAGAACCTTTGAATCTAATTAGTTGCAATTTCTATATAATATTATTATTATATCATTTTCGGTGTATGTTTCCCCGACGACCCCTTTCAATAGAAAACCGTTCATATTTCAAAACGATGGAATTTGGTTATTTCGTTGTATAAAACAGAATGTGTTTTCCTAATGCATGTACTTAATTTTAATATCTCCAAAAATGTATTCAGTTTTATTGCCAATAGTTTTAGCGTCTTTTGAAACAATTCCGTGTGTGTGAAAAAAGAAAAATATCATTTTATATTGATCAGGAGATAATGATTTTCAAAAGAACTTATACCAAAATAATGTTAATTTACCATTCTAGCGTCTCTGAGGGCTAGCAGCGCCTTCTCGTGTCTCTTTATTAACTCTACCAACGTCTGTTTCCGTTCTCTTAACTTGACTTTGGTCTCTGATGAAAATCTATGAAAACAAAAAAAAAAATACTTGAATAAGGACAATTCGAATTCGATTTGTAGACGCATACATTGAGTACAGTGGTGGCAGAATGTTTATAATTACAAATTAGTAGCAATATATTTAGTGCTAAAGAAAGAAAGAAAGAAATAAAGAAAGAAGGCGACATTTCTTACAATGTATATCTGAACTCGTCATTTGTAAGAAGGTTATAATCTGCACGTGATTTCTTGAGGACAGAATTTCTCAAAGTACGGAGGACATTTGTAAGTCTGTTGCCTATATATAGAAAGAGAAGGAAATATAGAAGATAAGAAAGAAAAGTGAAAGAAAAAGAAACAATTACACGAGGGCATATTACAAAACGAGAAATCTGTGTAGCAGACGACATTCACAGACGCTGTAACTGCAGGCGAAAGTATATGAAGCAGAAACCAGTTATCACAAATAAATTGACTAATGAGAAACTGACATTAGATTAAAGGAATAGAGAACAGTAGAGCGATGTATGCTTTGCACTGCCATAGAGCTATGTCATAGCAGACGACATTCTTGAACGCTGTAAATACAGACGACATGATAAAAAGCAGAAACAAGCTATCACGTCTAAGTATATATCGCATTAGACAAATAAATTTACTTGATGAAACAGACATTAGATTAAATGATTACAATGTAGTTCATTTAAATATACATGTATGATTGCTTTGAATGAAAATTATTGGTTTCACAAAAAAAGATGGAATGAAAAAAACATCAGAATTTCACCACTATATATAGTAAAGACGAGTTATGAACAAAGATCGAAGACATTGCACAAAATAATCTTTCATAAATCGAAATAAAAATACAAAAGTTAAAAGAAATTAGACTAACCTCGCACTGTTTTTATCTTTTTTGATACGTGTTCCATGTTTGGAACATATCCCGTTACGGCAGAAAACTTTTCAATGTTTGAAAACCTGAAAAGGAAAACGAAAATAAAAATGAATTGACAGGACTGTTTATAAATGTTTTCTTTTGTTTTGTTTCATTAAAACTTGCATTTTAATATCATGTCATGTACATGTAAAATTGGCCATAGTGTTCATTGTATACGAGTATTAAGCACATTTGTCAAAGATTGAGACAAATGTACAGACTTATCGGGAGTCGAACTCATCTTTGTGTGGTTTCTTAAAAAAATATTGATGATATCTTATTGAAAAGGATCTTTGGGCTTAAAAATACCTTGCTGGATGAATTTTAAAAAGTATTGCTCTGATAGCTAACTATAGCACGAACTCTATATAACCAAAAAGGAAACACATATTTTTATATATTTTCTGTTATTTCAGTGGTGAAAACTATCAGATTTACTGAGTTATTGATGCACAAAGACGCACGTGTGTTTATATAATGTTTCTCATTGACTAGATTTAATCGAAGATCTATAGAGATATATATATAACAAATCAGGCTAAAACGATTGTGTTATATTTAGCAAACTGATATTTAGCAAATTAGCATAATATAATAATTGATAGGACTTTGTTATCTTTATGCCACAGCAAGATTAAATCTATTTAATAACCCTTTAATATACAAGCAGATAGCCTAGTCAATTATTTATATAAAATTGTACATTTTTTCACAAATAAAAGTAAATATATTTACATTTCCATATCTTTTGTCAACGTAGACACTTTAGGAATCAATATCGTCTCCATGTCCATGATAAAATCGATGAATTTCCGATAAAAATTCGCTGATGAAGTTGTGTGTATGCAATCGCTTAGTTGATGCTAACGCTACTGTAACGTCGCTTAGAAACGACGTCAACGTTTCATTAATAACGTTCAAACTCTCGCAAAACGGGAAATTAAATTTCATCGTTTTAGCGTAATAAAACCGGTAGAAATTGTTAATATTTTAAGTATTTGTTTTTAAATAAGACTTAATCAATTAAGGGAGTACAGAGATATTGTGTGTCTTAAAAATAAAATTAAATAAAACCAAAAAACAAAAATGCCGCATAACGGAACTGACGTCATAATGACATGACGTTTAAATTGCCTATCGGGATATCATAATTGTAAACGGTGCGCCATTATTTTTCAAAACTTGAGAACATTAAACATATGAATCTTGTTAACGTATACTTGCAAGATATAGAGGATAATATGAAAAAGGCAAAGCTTCAAAGCGAGCTAGATTTTCTTTTACCGTAAAATAGTTTAAAATAATCGTTCATTTTTATTTTACATTTTCCGTTTTAATATTGTCATTCAGTATTTTATACACTGCTTCAGTTTATTCTGGCTCCCCCTTTATATAATGGTTCATAATTATACAAGTAAAATGGTTACCTGCGGGTAACATTTTTAAAAATATAAAGATATTTCATTTAACTATTTTAAACATTTATTGGGGGGGGGGGGAATAAACGTTTGTTGACAATAATAAGCTCTCTGGAGACTTGTGGCCGTTGAAGACCGGAGACCGGAGAAAGTCGAAAATAAAACAATTATTTCTTTTTAAGAAAATGATTAAATACCATGGTATGAATAATTCCATGTAAAAAAGGGGAAACACACACGTGCACGCAGAAAATATCACTATTTATTATGGCAGCTGCCACTAAGAATGTTTTAATTTTGTAGATATTTCACTGTAAACAATTTATTGTTTACACATGTAGATATTAAAGAAACATTGATAATTTTCAAATACATCATGCCAGTTTTTTCACCTTAAATGGTATAATAATTATAGTAAATTAGAAATATCACGTAATAGTTTTATGTTCTTAATTAGGTGTATTTCGGACTAATTCCCTAGAGGTAAATCCGTAACCTACCGGGCAAACGGTTTCGAAAAGGTCAATTAACCAATCATGTACTGTTCACAGATCACATGCTCCTCCATGTACCGAAAATAGGTCACGTGCTCCTCCATGCCTCAAAAATTAAACGCGTACCAATACCCTGCAGGCTTCGATCCGCAGGGAATAAGTGCGCAGGACACCAGTGTACGCTTCCGTTTTAAATCAGAGTACATCGTTATCTTGTAATTCGAAAAGTTGCGATGTGTCGGTACTTCGTACGAAAGTTTTCAAAACCATCACTAAGCAGGTACTCGCGTTACCTTAAAGCTCGCTTTGCGAGCAGGCCCTTCGGGCCAGCTCGTCGAGCTCGCTATTAAAATAAAATGAGTGTAAGTTCAATACTGAATTTATTGAACGAGTTGAATAAAATTATATCATGCAAACCTCAGGCGAGTTCAATAAATTCAGTTATGAACTAATATAATATTCTATTTATCACATAGTCAAAATAAGGCCGGTTTAAAGTAAAAAAAAAAAGTGGCCGTGCAATACCATTTTTATGGAGTCGCAAAATCGGCACGTGTATGTGATAAAGAATATACACGTGATATACGTTCATGAAACATGTTGTTAGATCTACGTTATATAAGCAATTTTGAAAATTAATTTTTTAAAGAAAACAGGCTCATTATGATGGCCATATAATTGTTGTACATTTAATATAAAAATCTTAAATGAAATATACTTCTATATGCTCGCATAATATATTTTTATTCAACTGTTCAATAAATTCAGTATTAAACTAAAACTCACTCAATATCCTCTATACATTTTTTATAATGCCTGCTTATTATTAAGCCAGTTTTACACACCACTTACTGACAGATCCAAAATACGTAAATCAACAAGGTACATTGTTCTAATTACCAGTTTTCATATACATGTTTATTATATACTTACAAATGAAATATTGAGAAATATTGATGAAATAAAATGCGTATTTTCATTTTCCGTATTTTCACTGTAAAAATTTTATTTTTCACTGCAGTGAAACATATTTTCCGTATTTTCACTGGTGTCTTGCCGGACTACTTTCTTTTAAATTCTGCCAGTACACAAAATTTGAGGGAAAGTCTTTCAAATTTTAATGTCAAAAAAGAGAAAAATGTATATATAATAAACAGAAAATTCAAGTTTTTTCTATAAATACATGATTTATTTTCATCTTGTGGCATGAAAATAACCATATTTCACTCGTGGCTACCGCCACTCATGAAATATTTATTTTCATACCACTTGATGAAAATTATAGACAAAACTTGAATATCCTCTATATATAATAATGTAGCCAGTACAATAACTAAGACTTATATGTAGCAGCCATCATCTCGTGGAAAAGAAATACATTGTAATTATCTTTTTTTAACTCGAGACAAGCTTCTTAAAAAAAGGTTCAGCGGAATAGTGGCCTGGTGACAAAAGTGTCTGCTTCTCAACTCGGGGATTGTGAATTTGAGACCAGTCACTGGGCTCATGATGCCACCAATCATAAACCAAATTTTCAAGGAGTATATACTTTCTGACAAAGAAACTTAATGTTTACTTCCCCATATAAAAACAACATTTGATTTTTATATCAAATTTAATGTACTCTTAAACAAGTTAAATACACTATCAAATATACACTCTATTCTACAAAAAATGAACTTTCATCAAGAAAATATAGTAAAATAGATCAAAACAACATACTAACTAATATTTTGATTTAAAAACACAACAGTGCTTACTTTAAAAACAGTGCTAGGAAGTGAAAAAAAATACAGGTAACAGTTGTTTCTATGGGTTTTTCACCAGATCTTTCAATATTATGCACTTTTTACAATGGCTACAATATTAAAGACATATTCAGATAACCTGTTTCAAAAGTTTGGGATTTTTAAACTTCCCATGGGAAACATAATTAGTTTGTGTCCGTCTGTACAGTTTTCTTTATGTCATTATCTAGAACTTTCAATTTGTATACTGTATAAAGGTATAAATGAAATGATTAAAATATTTCATAAATAGTTAAAAATCATAGTAGACTTAAATAATAACAATAAACAATTACATGTTATTGTATTTTTATCAAAAACAAGTAATGTTATCACAGTATATCAATAAAATAATAATTCCATCCATGATTTGCAATAAATTATACTCCAACACGTTTTTATGAATTTAAATATTAGGTGTATAAGTTATAACTTACACCTTAATTTAAACACACATTTCAGAATATCTTTTAATAATGTCATTATCATTTATTCTTTAATAAAAACAACCAGTAAGAAACAAGATTTATGAATAATGGAATAATATGTTAATGCATCACAGGTAAATACATGTATTTAATTATATTAAAAAAAAGTTGTTTTCCCAAGTTTTATCACTACAGTAAAAACTTTTTAATATATCATATCAACAGCATTGCATAAAACTTGTCAAACAAGTTTAATTTACAGCACTTTTGTGCTATATGATATAATCAAATACAATAATGTACAATATCTTTTTTTTTTAAATGGTTTCATAATCTCATAAGTTAGTGAAATAGTTAATGCACACACCATGATAAACTTGATGAGCCAAAGTTCAAAGGTTATGTTAAACAATATAATAAAAAAAGATTTGAGGACTAGAACCAGTCTTCAAATACAAGCATCTGATTGGCTCAAACTGACATTAGATTTGAAATGGACCAATGGCAGTGCTTTATTTTTAGACTGGTTTCCAATCTTAGCTTTGGTTTGCCATATAATACATACATGTATATTGCTTGAAATTTCATATATAACTGTAACTATTGAATAACAATCATTCAAACATTATCTTTATCATGCATGAAATGGCATATACTAAATACAGATATATATTTACTTGTTATCCTCCTTAGCCTTGCATGTTGGAAAAATTAGTGTCTGCTCAAAATGCTGCTTGACTAAATTTTTAATACTATCCAATTTTTAAGAAACAAAAAAAGGTGGGTCACACAGTTTGGTAACTGACAAGAAGCTAAAGTACTTGCTTTTAGGTGCTGGTCTGGTATCAAGCTGTAGGCAAAGACTATTGTATGTATATGAGAGTCAATACACCAGTTAAGTCACAAAAAAAAGCAGATTCCGCTGTAAAAAGTGGTGATAATTTATCTCCATGCAATTTCCATGGAGTATTAGCCAAAGATATGAATTTTAAGCCAAAAGTAGGTCAATGAGAACCTTTATGAATGTAAGTAACCTGAGGAGACTGTTGAGAAACATTCAGAAGACTAAGGGTTTATCATATATAGTCATGGAATTTCAATAAATAATTACTTATATGTATATGTAAGTTTCAAAACAGACAAAAATATCTTATATAAATAAAAATATTATAATTTCACTTTACATATCAATAGTGAAAAATGTGAGATAATCAATCGGCAATTATTTATAATGTTACAAATCATCATGAAATCATCAAAAATTAATTAAGTGATTTTAATCATTCAGTAATTAATTGTTTGAGTGATTTGATTTTTTTAAAGTTTACCCTTTTCTTTCTATAAATACTTTTTTCAACTTAATGAATATTCAAAATGGTACACATTACAAATAAAAATGAATATGTAAATGAGATACAACAAATTTTCTGAATATTTAAGACGAAACCAATGTCTATACTGTTGCCTACTGAATTTAAAGCAGATTGTAACTGAAATTTCTAACATCATCTATAAAGAATAGGCAGTCCCAAGTCCATTTTCAACTATTTAGCATTGGTAAAGCTTATAGGTTAGAACAATAGAAAGTTCTTAAGTCACTGTCCGTAGAACTGTTTTTCATGAATATTAATTATGCGTCTAATGGTGATGGTTTATGATAATGATGATTACATTTTTACTCGAGGACGAGTTACGATGGATCAACCGTTGAGGTTTTTATGGTGTGGTCTGTCTTGTGTCCCGATTCGCTTCTTTGCAAGAGGGTTACCCTCATCTGGTTTATTTAAAGCATGAAATTTCCATGCAGTTGCAAACATATCAACCTGAAATGACACAAAAAAAACAAGCATTTGATAGTATTGCGGGCAATACAGTAGTCCCCTACCGGTCCCTCAAAAAGTTCTTTAATTGTCATACACTCCTGTGTATTGCCATTTATAATGAATTTGAGGATGAAGTCTGTATTTGAAAATATCAACCACAAAACATAATAAAATAAGTTTGTCTATATCACAGTAATGTGTTAAGTTTCCATGCTTAGTAAGGAAATTATGTTTATACAACCTTGTCATATTATTACGATGTGGGATTTTAAAGTAAATCCTATAAGGAATGAAGAAGTTGGAGTGAAAATACCAGTTTTCTCGAAAAAAATCAAAGTTCAAGGGGGACATAATTCTGGAAATAGTCTTGCTAGAGTATTTAACCTTCTCAAAAATGTCGAGTGATAATAAGAAACATATATATGAAGTTTGAAGTAGATACATTAGGAAATAAAGAAGTTATTTAAAAAAGACAACATTTTTTCCCCTAAAAAATCTAAGTTCAAGGGAGGTAATACTGATATTTTTTGTGCTAGAGTTATAAACCTTGTCACATATGATGTGGTTGATGACCAGAAACTTATATTTAAAGTTTGAAGTAAACACCTTAAGAAATAAAGAACATATAGTGAAAAAAGCTGAAAAATTTAAATCAGAAATCTTGAAATTCAGGCTATTTGTTGCCATAGCAACCAGAATTTTCAACATAGGAAGAAAAGAAAAATATGTGCATAATCTCCAGACTGCCATCTACCCATATTTCAAGTTTCATAAAAATATTTTCAGTACTTTTTGAGTTATCACTGGATCCAGTTTATGTGTTAAATTTGCCATATTTTCAGACTATTTGTTGCCATAGCAACCAGAATTTTCAACATAGGAAGAAAAAAAAAAGACGTGCATAATCTCCATACTGCCATCTATCCATATATCAAGTTTCATAAAAATATTTTCAGTACTTTTTGCGTTATCGCGGGATCCAGTTTTGTGGACGGACGGACTGACGGACTGACAGACAGACGGACAGACGGACGGAGGGTAAACCTAAAGTCCCCTCAGGTTAAACCGGTAGGGGACTAAAAACCACTGATATTGCTTTTCATATAGAAATGTTATTATAGGTGCCTTCAAAATGGAAGATTGTGGAAGATGCCAATCTGTACATTAATAATGCATGCATTATGTACATTAATTGAGGCATCTGCACATTAATTAAGGCATCTAGACCATAATAAATCAACCATTGGTACATTTATTATTAAATAAAGGCATTTGAACTTTCATTAAGGTATCATTCCATTAACTCAGGTATCTGTATGCATGTTTTAATTAAGGCAATCTGTTCAATAATTATTCAGATATCTATACATTAAGCAAATAAATCATCTGTACATTGATTAAGGCAACTGCATATATAATAAAGGCTGCAGCTGTACATTATATAATAAATAAGAAATCAGTGTATTCATTAAGGCATCTGTAAAGTAATTTAGTCATCTGAACATTTATTTTAGCATCTATGCATTAATTACATTTAGGCATCTGTATATTAATTATGGAATCTGTACATTAATTAAGAAATCTGTAGATTAGTTAATGCACAGGTACAAATCTGATCTGAATACAAATTAGTGCCAAGCCATATTCAAAGGCAGTGACAGTTTAATAAAACTCAATCATTAAGGCCCAAATAAAACTTTATGAGATCATTACATCACTGACACTTTTTTTACAAGATAACTTACATTATTCAACTTAAATACACATTTTTTTTTCAGTGACCATAATACCCAACTTTTTGGGGTCAAAACAGAATATATAAGATTTCACTATAATAAAAAAAAACATATCTCCAAAATTTCCTAAATATCTTTAATATGAATTTAAGGCAGTATCTTTTATAAACTTCATGTGTAAAAGGTCTTATCTTTTTACAATTACATCATTCAAACAGATTCTCAGTTGTCGTGATAGGAGTTGAGCATTATCTTAATCAAAAGTAACTTAAAACAAGTAAATTTTATATAATAAACTTACTGTCACAATATTGTCTTTTTTGTTCTCTTTTTCAATTTTGGAGATTTCATCTGGGGTAAGAATTGGAAGCCTGACCCACTGTATAACATTTTTAGCTACATCTGCCACTGGTCTTCCAAGGACAACCTGTAATGTAAAAGAAAATTATGGCTCGGAGGTTAAACAAACAAAGTTGTCAAGTAGACTATATGTACGTGAATGATATAGTTATTAAAAGGGGAAATTTAAACATTCCAATACATAAAGTGTCTGTGAAAGTTTAAATACAGTACAATTGTTTGAAGACATTCTCTCTATTGTCCTAACGAAGTACAGATGTTTAAGATTTAGATTTGTGCATTTCTTCTCTATCTTTACAAATAAAATGTAAATATTATTGTGCAAAAAGAAAAAGAGTATAGACATAAATCAGGGCAACAAAAGTTTTGTTTTACCAAAGGACCATAGGCAAGCATTACCCATTTTGCGATCTGATAAGATTTAAATTGCAGTGGTGACCTGAAGTGTCTCCAACCAACGTACAAATATTTCTGATAATAAAACAGCAACAAATGAAATACACCCAAAATATTCATCACAAGAAACTACTAGATTCTTAAATAACATAAAACAAATGTTCACACAATTTAAAAGCACAGAGATGCTTACTGAATTAACTGCAGCCCATTCCTTGATGTATTTAATAATTTCAGCTTCATCCATATTAAGACCATCGACTTTGAGTATCTCGGACAAGGCGTCCTCAGAGAGTTCCTGGAATGCTTTTGACTTAAACACACTCTGCAAATAATAAGATACAAATGTTATTTAAAATTTAGCATATAATTGCTGTCTATAAATTAAGACTCACTATAAGCATTTTTGTATTGCTTGAAAATTTTGTTTAAAGGCAAACATTATGCCTCAGAAACAAAATAATTATTTCCATTTATAACATGGAAGTTCTATCAAATTTGAAATAATGATTTAATAAGAAGCAAAGTCAGATCTTATCTCATATAAGAAGAAGTGTGCGCTGTAGAAATCGCTCGTAAAATGTAAACAAAGTAGTACTTTGACCTTCCATACAAAGTACTAACTCATTGTAAATATTACGTATTGCCAAACAATGCAACAGAAACAAAAGATTGTTCATTTGCGAATAAATATTTTTTTTACCTTATAATACAGAACACAATTTTTTTTTAGCTTTTTGAGGAATAAATGAACGCCATAAACCTTGAGACTAATAGGCCTTTAAAAAAAATACAGGCATTAATGTCATCTGAGTTGGACTAAATTTCTGAATTTCTCTTATTATAAAGTTAAAGATCGTTACACAAACTTACCTTGGAAAACTAAAGTATGATCATGTATACCATGTAACAAAACTTTCTGAAAGAACTATGAAGTGTTTCCTGCTGTCAGAACTCACAAAATTGGTATATTTTTTTAAATACCAGAGTCCAATTATTTTCCTCCACACATTTCAAAAGATTGCAGGATACATGCTACAAAAATTGATGCTAATTGTTCCACTTATATTACAAAGTACAAGTATACAGTAAATATATAAACTTACCACTTTAATTAGAAAACGTATGATTTAAAGGTACATGTAGAGGATAAAAAATATTCTTTTCCGCAATTTCAAATTAAAATTATAATAGAAATGTGTCAGTGTTTTGACAGTTTAAGTCAAAAGAATGGATAACATGTCAGTGATTCAGACAAACAAAGAAGCAAATCTATGTCCTGACCCACCTCCTTCGTAGTTGGGGGGAGAAAAATACACAAAAGAATAGAATAAATCATACTTCAATGTTAGATATATCTGTCTTGTATGAAATACATGGTATTGAAGTGGGATGAAATATCTACGAATAATGGGAAATAATTAAGTCTTTATCAGAAAACAAGTCAATGTTAACTTTTAAAGATATAACAAATGTTGGACTAACAAGAAGGAAAAGAAAATGGAAACTTTAAATTTAAACAAGCTTAAAGAAACTTATTTTTTCATTACTCAAGTGGCATGTGGTACTTTTAAAGTGAATACCCAAATGTAATGCTGTTGTTTACTTTTCATGGTATAAATACCTAACACTTCTTTTATAAATGGGGGAAAAATGACAGCAAAACTGCTAGTAACTTTTAATGATATAAAAATAGACTTACAACAAGTTTTTGCAATCAGCCTTGATAAGGTTACAGGAAACTATTAGCCAAATTTTACCAAGAAATTAAATTAAACAGTATTGTTGCTTGATTTTAGTTTCAAGCGGACTTTTCAGAACAGTCTTACCTCTGTATGCGTTCAATGTATGATTAACATTTTTTCTTTCAAAGCTCTTCTTGGCCGTAGTTACTGCCGCTTGCATACAATCACAGCATTCTGTACATAACTGAGATTTTTCTCCAAATATTCCAGCATAATGAAACATCCATAAACTAATCAACTATTTCAGTCTCTGATCTTTAAACATTTGAGCCTGCTACATTTTTTCACAATTAGGTTGCTTTTACATACAGAAACTTCATATGTCTCATAATGTTAAGTATATATTTATTTATCAGAAAAATTTAGTTTTTTTTCTATAGGCTGACTGTGTTTTCAATGCATCAATCACCTTGTGTAGTGCAGTTGAATGGGTTCACTCCTAATTAATAATATAAGGACTTACCTGTTTCGCACTAATGTGTGACATAATACATCTTTTTTAAAAACATATCGCACAAGCTTTAAAATGCATACCATAAAATTAGCAAATTGTTTTAATCAACATTTAAAGACTAACTAAATTACAGCTTTAAAGTTACATATTAAAAATGGAAAAAATGAAAATTTTATTAATATATACCCTTCGTAATCTCAAAGTCCATATTCAGGGCTGTTGCAGAACCTCTATTGCCTTAAAAATATATATATAATAACATAAAACCAAGAATATCACATAAAGCAAGAGAGACAGGTTACATTTATGTTTATACACATGTACATTTACATTTTAGTATTAATACTTACAGGTAAAGTCAAATCTATGAATTTTACAAAATATGTTTCTAAGTGAAATGTTCAAATATTTTTTTATTGTAGAAAGTTGAATAGACATGATAATTGGATTAAACTCATACAGGATTGGAGCAGATACTTCTAAAGAATCTTGCAGAAATCATCATTGATCACAAAATACGAACAAATATCCCTTTTATTCGCCGATTTTTAATTTTCATTCATTATCATACATAATCGGTGGTAAAAAAGATGAATTAGACCCTGTTAAAGTTCATTGCATTGGGTAAAAAGGCAAGATTTCAGCATTTTATGATTCAAGCACCTTGCCGGTATATACCCGAAAATACAGGTGTGTGCTCCATCCCTTTTTAAGTCTCACTCATGATAATTAAGTATTATGTAGTAGTTTTAATCCTTTAACTAATGTAGTTGACTTAAGAACATACTGTATTAGCAGATACTTAGAGGCTCTGTGATAATAAGTTTTAATCATTTTTGGTACTAAACTTCTGTGACTATATAATGGAAAGATCCAGAGTTGGAAACATGCTCACATTAATTAAAAAAATCAAAAGATTAAAGATGAAATTATTTCATTATTATAAATCGCAAATAAAATGCTACTAACAGTGAAATTTGTATTTATAGTGTACTACAGAAAAAAATAGTTTCACTTACAATTTTTGGCGTAAGAGTTACACCAATTTGGTGTAGATAAACTCTAGCATTGCTGTAAAAAATGTCCGCATTCATGTCAGAAAGTACAAAAAGGAGTTTCTTTATCTATTGTGCCATTTCTTGTTGTGTTTGCTCTGCAAACGTCGCCTTGAAAACAGCACATCTTGAGGACAGAATACATCTATGAGCATACACAGCCTTCTGTTTTGTCCAATCGAAAAACTTGACCGTCACTGAAAAGAAAAATAATAATTCAAACATATTACATATCAACTTAATAGAATAACGGATAAGAAAAAAGAAAAAGTTGAACAACAGATTTCTTAATTTTTAGACAGCAAACATTTGAATATTCTCATATGCTTGATAGTGGAACAAGCCTAGCTGCACGACCAACCCGTGGATGGAAATTCTGAATCAAAAACCGCAACATATGACAGATATTATATTCCTGTTATTGCTAGTTATCACTCCTGTTACAACTTCCTTATTTGGGCAAAGGACCGTGTAGAAAAATGCAGATTGTGTTTGGAATTGGAAAAAGACATATTGCTGCGATCAAAAACATAAATTGATGTTTCTATGACAATTTTTAAAATAAGTCTTATTTGTTGATTGTTATGTTTGTTTCATTTTACAACCTTTTACCAACATATTTCAGTCATATAAGGCGGGTAAAATTTAGTTTCCTTAGACAATCGTTCCTGGAGAGTGACTCTAAGGTTCAACTGACGCTCAGGCGCATGAAATGTATCTGAACTAAGATTAAAGGTTTTTAAATAGAAAATTAAAGCAAATGAACTTTGCCACTAGAAGGAAAGACAAAGAAAGAATTCATTAAATTCAACTTTTCACATTTCCCTTTCTATAACATTTTGTTAAAACATAATTTTGTAGAAACACTAAGGTTCTTATCCAAATATATTGATCAAACTTGTTCTTTAATACAGTGCAATCAAAACTAAATAGTAATTGTCTGAACCTGGTTGTAATGGGCTAGCTAGGGATTATCAAAATGGCAAATGGTGTTTTTATATTGGAATTTTCCAAACTATTAACTTTTTTTTGGAAAACTACCTGTGCTCTTTAATTATTAACCAATTTCTTCATGTTGGAAAGCAAAACTCCAATATAATCGCCTTTTCATCACTTTTCTCGTTTGCCATCTTGTCTTATAGTTTCTTCTAGTTAATTGACAAGATAATTGAATCTCCTTGTGAACTAATTGTCAATTAGCGTAGCGTCCGGTTGTCAAGCACCTGATACTGAACTTCCGGTATAAGCAAGGGAGTTAAATTTCTGAAACGCACTAAATATTTTCCTTCCAATAAAATATCTATCTGATAAAAACCCATTCGCTAGGAACGTATAGTAGAACCGTATTATACAAGATTATAAACAAGTAGCCCAATTTAATTCGGCGTTAACGGTTTGAGCCCATTTTTACAAACTTTTTTTTTTCTTAATGGAAAAAAGGACATCGCCCGTCCAAAAATTAATCTCGATGTCCTCTTTGGAACAAAGTCTAATAGTTGGACGAATAAACAAGTACAACAAAAGCAAAAATTTATTTTATTTATTTATTTTATTTAACATTTTAGGAACAATAGCACATGATACAAAAATATAAAATCAATACAGTTAGAGATAACATATATATAATCAATTAAATAAAAATGAGAAATCATAAAATTTGCATACAAGAGCACACTTTTTGTCATAAAAATAAAATAAGAGGTATATGCACCTATGGATAGCCCATTAAGTCTAAATGCTTATTTCCAATGGTCCATAGAAATAAAACAAACAACATAATTTTAACCCTTTCCCCCCTAAAGAAAAAAAACAACAAAAAAACGAACAAGATAAAAAACTAAATAAACTTTGGTTCAAAAATTTTGGTTGAAAAAAGGAAAATATATTTATAAAAAGTATGCCCTTTTTTAAAATAAGCCTAGTATTACTATCACAGAAATTTTTGAGACAGTGCCTAAACACATTAGTTTGTACAATTATATATCTTCTGAAAGACTTTTATAACTTTCTAAAGTAGGTACTTTTTAACAGATTTTTTTGTATTGCACAAAATTATAAATGGATTTTTATATACTCTGGCAGATCATTCCCATCTTTATTCCATTATAATAAAAAGGTCCTGTTTCATCACAGAATTACACTGGGGGACAATAAAATTAAAATTGCTTGATCAGTGTTGTAAAATCTTGCATCAGCAACATCTAAAGTCCCGGCTCTAAGGATGATGGACTCTTTTGTTAAAAATCTTATACATATGATTGAGTCTTACTGTTTGACTCTGTTTTCCTAACATTTAACCAATTAAAATTTTTTCAAACTCATACACTGTTACAGGAAAGTTCTGGGCGTTAAGTTTTGGACAAATCTTAATACCTTATTCTGAGTAATTTGTAACTTTCTTTTCAAAAATGTTTTGAATAAACCTTCATCAAGAGGAACCAAAGTAGTCAAAATGCACACTGAATCAGGGCTGAACATAAACAGCTGTTTTGTTTTAGTATTCTAAAAGTCCTGCTCTGCCTGTATAAAAAATTGAGCTTGGCATTCACTTTAAGAAATAATGTTATTAAAAATATTTCCCCCAATATCACTATTGATATATCGCCAAGATACTTGAAGACTAAATTAGTTACCCTTATGCTATGACCATGTACATGTAACAGTAAATTGTTCTTGCTTTTGTAATTTTCTTTTGGGGCCAAACAGCATACATTTGTCTTACCCAAGGTGGAGTGACAGCTTTATTGGTCTACAAGCCATTCTGAACAGTTTCTAGGCTGTCCAAGTTTTTCTGTCTGAAATTCGGGTCTTTATGTGAGAATAAAATAGTGTGTCATCTCTGCATACCACGTATTAACTGCAATCATATATCAATACTTAATAATCCATATCATTTACGTAGCAACAAGAAAAAAAGCAACCGGCCCTAGAATACTACTTGGGGGACGCCACAGGTCACACTGGTTTTGATTTAAAGAGTAAGTATTTCCTATATTAACAAATTTGTGGAACCTTCTGAAATAAGATATGAAATCTGAACCAGGAATAGACTGAACAACCATTAATTCTAACTTTCCACTAAGAATATCATGGTCTACGGTGTCAAACGGCTTTTTGAGTCAGATCATCACCATCCTGTGTAATAACCCTTTACTAGTATTAATTTCTTATAACATCTTGTAAGTGAAGTGAGAGAGATATCTTAAGAATAACACCTTCTAAAACCCAGACTAAAGTCAGCATAGCTTTTGGAAACCAAAAATGTTTCAAGTTGAACAATAAGCCGTTTCTCTAAAATTTTTGACAAAACTACACTTAAAAATACTGACAGGCCTATAATTACGAACTTCTAGAACACTAATTTTCTTTTGTAAAGTGGTTTTTAACTCTAGCCAACTTTTCAATTTCATCAGGTACTTTACTCTTCAGAAAAAGATTGATTATACAAGTAAGTAATTGGGTATTTTCAAAAACACTAGAACCACCCCTTCAAAAATCGCAGGAATACCATCTATCCTGTGCTTTTACTAAAACATTTAAGTGCATAGTTTACTAAAAACAAAATTTTCAGATACATGTTTGTGATTAAAAATATTACTTCGTTTCTTTTCTATAAAAATTGAAAGCTTTTTCAGACCCTAAATCATACAATTTTTACTTGAAGGTAAATTTCTCAATACAAGTTAGAAGCAAACACCTTGTAAAAAAATCGTTAAAAATAATTTTGGAAACAAGTATGCAGCCGTCAATGGCAAGTTTTCCCATTAATGATAATACAATATTTGAAGATTTTCTTCTTGTCATTTTTATATCCAAATCTTTAAGTTTTGCCAGAGTTTGCTAGGATTAAATTTGTTTTCCTCTATTTTGTTAGTAAAATATTCCGACTTAGCAGTCTTTATATCTCTTTTGAATTTGATTCCTTAACTTACAAAAAATCTTATAATCTCTCTTTCAACCATAACTTTTTTGTATGTA